GAAATGCCACCACACCACCCCGCATGTATGGGGGCATGTGTGACACTCCGGTGGCATTGCTACCCCCGAGGGCTCCCGTCCTGCCTAACCCTGGAGCGGTTGACCACGAGATCTAGCCCTTTGACTTTCCATGGGCGGGCTTTAACCAGTGGACCTCTCCACCCGATTATGTTAGGTCGGTCCATAGGAACACTTGGGAGCAAGATCCTGACCAAACCCACAGCAAGATCCCGCCCGTGTAGACCCGGCGCGGCCGTTTCCCCCCTCCAGGTGCCGGCGGCAGCGCCGTGCGTGAGGGGCCTACACCCCCGAGATGTGTGCCGCCTCTTCAGACATGCCACCACACCACCCGGTTGTGGTAGGTCATCCCATATAAACACTTGGGTGCAACGTCCCCTCCGTATAGACCCGATGCGGCTGTTTCCCCCCTCCAGGTGTCGGCCGGCAGTTGCGCCATCCGTGAGGCAAGTTACACCCCTCCGTATAGAATCGAAAAGTATGGTATTCATGCTTATATTAACACATGCTACATGTAAGTTAATCAAATAATAATACGTAAAAACATAAAAAATTCTATATGAAATGCAAAAAGAAAAAGGGGCTGCCGTCGGCATAGCTGAGGCCAGGGGCAGATATGGACGGCGCGACGCGGATCGATGACGTGGCATCTATGCCGACGGCAACCGTCGGCATAGATGATGGTCGATGCGCCTCGGATCGATGACGTGGCACACGCATCTATGCCGACGGCCGTCCGTCTCGGCCGTCGACATAGATCGGACACCGTTAGCCGCATGTCACGAGCGGGGCCGCCGGGCCAGCAACTATGCTGACAGCCGCTGTAGGCGTAGGCTGGCCTAATCCGACGGCTCATCTGTGCCGACGGGATAGCTCGTGATAGCCCGACGGCCTGGATCCGGCTGTCGGCATATCCTGGACTAGGCCGACGGGGGGCGTCGGCATATATATGGCTGTCGGCACCGGGCCCTGTTTTGGTAGTGTAGCTAGCCCACATTATTGTATGAGTGCATATAGATGATGGCTATAAATGACATGACAGTTTTATATAGCCATCAGCTGGCCATATTATTAACCATGCTCGGAGTATCAAAAGTACGGAAAGGATGACGTGGATCACGAGTTCTAGTGATTACACGTGGTCTAATCGGACGCGGCACGGCAGGTGGAGTGGCCGTTCGGCCGATCCGATTGCCTGGCCGATCGACCCCTAAAACACTGGCGTAAATTATTCGCCTCCATGCTATCAAAACCTTGCCACATTATATACTGTAATTTATCATTAAATAATAATATATGTACGCCTCCTTATATCTCCCCAAAGCACCAAATCCGTTCAGAAATCGCAGGTAGATTTGCGCCGAGGGAGTGCTTCAACATCGCATCTATGGCCTCCGCCGCGTTCTCCATCAGGTTGGTGTCGATGCGCCGCCTGGTTTTGTCGATTTTATTTTATGGTTGTCGTCTTCATGTGTGCGTGTTTTCTTTTTCTGATCTATTCGCTGTGATTTATCCGAAGGAGGTACGCGGAGAGCATGAGGGTCGAGGGAGCGGCGGAGGGTCGTCCTCCCTTGTACATCGAGGATCTGCCGCCTATCAAGGCGCCGAGGTTCTCGTGGTGGGCGGACGAGCTCGCCTCCGCCGTGGCTGCTGCTGCTGCGGCTAAGCCGCCGAAAAAGCGGTCCATCTCTGACCTCTTTGACCCAGCGCCAGCGTTGGACGTGCCTCCCGGCGGTGATAGCGGATGCAAGGAGCAAACGCAGGTGGACGGCGACGAGGCGCTGTGCACCATCGTGAGGCAGGCAAAGGAGGAGAAGTGGAAGCGGAGACGGCTGGGGGAGGAGGCGGCCGCGACTGCAACGCCGGAGAACACCGGAGGGCGAGAGCCTGAGGGGAATTTCGCGGCTACAAAGGTACGTGATCCAGTCCATCGTTATCGCAACCCACCTCTGCCTGTCTGTCAACGCAATGATGTCATCTGTTGTTATCCTTACGTTATTTTGCCCTGTTTTTTTTTACTTTTGATCTGCTGGTCAGTTTTTGGTTGCTTTGCTTAACTGATGAGTGGTAATAATCTAACTAGAGTTGTACCATCGCACTATCAATATCCTAGTTTGCATATTGATATTCCCGTCTGATTAGACCATGTGTGATCGTTGGAACTCGTTAGATATGCATGCACTAGCAATATCTTAGTTTGGGACGGGAATCACACTTAATGTCCAGGAAAATAACCCTGGCGCCCAGTCTTAGCGCCCCCATTGTAGATGGCCTTATAGTATTATTAGTATATGGCATGGTCTATCGTGTTGCCTTTTTCTCACACCTTGTACTACATGGTGAGTTGTGTTTAATATGTGAATCTATGTGATGATAGCTGGTGTGGAAATGTTTCAAGACACCTTAGGCATGCATAGGAACAATGTTTTGAAGATGGTGTACGCGTGGCACTTTCCAATATGTAACAGTCAGCCTGTCACCATATGTTTGGCATGATGCATGGTCTGCTGTTTGTACTCTATTATGGAGTTCCAATAATTAGCTAGTTGAGGAGATTAATCACTACAAGGAAGTCATCTTTTGCCTTGTGTTTTCCAGTACGCCAAGAGTTTTATATCGGCCACATGGCTTACATGCCTCTACGCCGTGAACTGACCGTGTGGTACACCACAACGACCTGGCCGTTAGTTGCTTTTTTTTTTGGCCGTGTGCTGCTGTTTTTGCCTCGGCCTATCCGTACGTCAGGACTCCGACATAATACGCTCGGCTTATGGTTGTATACCGATGAACTGTACACCGAGTAATTGATGCCGAGTGGCGCACATGGCATACGGTACGCCGAGGTAGATTCATCCTTCGCCGGGTGATTTCTACACCCAGCGTAGTGTGTTTTTCCTGTAGTGAATAGGATAGAAATTTAACATGTACGATGTCGATGGGGCAAACCCATCCACACCTAGGTTCCAAACTTGTACCTAAGTTTCAAGTGTGTGGGAATGTAAGCCTCATTTCTTCACATCTGATATATAGTGCTTAAAAAATTTATGCATTGTATAAATCATTAACATTTCACATAGAGATAATGCTCGTAATATGCATACACCCATAGTACATGCCTGCATACAAGGCTCATCATGTGATGCACCTTTTAAGATTTAATAGCCCATTTATTTGCTCTCTAAGGACTAGATTATGAATTTGTTCTTTAAAATTATATCACTTGATTACATAGTTCTATCAGCAGCTTGGTCACAAAACATCTTACTTTTCTTCAAAAACTGTTATCGCTATGTTCTACAACAAGTATCCCCAATAACCACTGTCCCGATTTAGTTTGATAGCTTGTTTTCCTCGTTCATGTTATGAACTTTGATAGTTTGACCAATGGGTGAGTACTGTGAAAGAATGCCAGATGGCACAGCTGCTTGAAAGAAGAGGGTACATAGTAGAGAGAGGGATCTATCACTACTCCTTGCTTGATGATCAAAATGCTGGTTCATCTTATGTAGAGGTGTGTGTGCCTATACTGCTTGAAAAGATGTGTAATACGATAGCTTAGAAAGAGAAGGAAATAACTATACTTAACCTAAGAGGGAAACTAATCATCCCAAATTCCTATATTTGATTGCTGTTGCCACATCTATTGCCGTCATCATTCCAACCATGGTATTGATGGCAGTATGCTAGACCATTGATTATCTGGATGTGATGACATTGTTTGTTAGTGCTGGATTATTTGTATTCTTTTCCCCAGGTGCAATGGGCCAGCAGGTGTGTTGAACATATGTAATTAAAAAGCAAACTAAAGTTTTGCCTCGTAAAGGAAATGCTGTGTTTTGTCTTGGTTCTGACAGTTGTGTGTTCTGGTTGTGTTTTGTCTCACCTTTTTTGAGTTTGTTATATGCGTGCACCGATGTATTTCCTAACTTATTCCAAGATTATTAATGTAATATGTATCAAGAGCCACACAACAAGCTAGACATTATGTTCTCTGTATATATATTTTACTATCTTTTTGTCGTTAGTTTTTGGGTATACAAATTCTTACTTGGGCATGTCTTAATAAAATAGATGTATATTAATTAATATATGGATTGCGTTTAAGGTGGACTTGCACATTGTGCACACTATGTTGGATAAAATTGGGCATGCATATTCATAAATTACCATAACTTGGAAGTTAATATGATTGGTTTATCATCACCATATAAGATATTTGTTAAAATAATACTTTTTATAATACCATGGATGTGATCTTTTTATTGAACAAAACAACTACATCGCATGGTAGGGTCTTCTCTCTCAAGAAAACACGATAATTTCAGCCACGATGTATTGATAGCTAGATATAATGTATACTTTTACAAGCCTGCACATGGGCTCAATTCTTGAATGGGAGAGTTGCATTCTCGCTATGCATTTGAAGTAGGTGCTTATTTGCAATCATTGTAGTGTACCAATTTTCATTCTTAAGCTAGTGTGATAGAAAGTTCTAAATGTAACGAAAGAACCATAATAAAAACGCTTCCACAAACTTAGGGAACAATAGAAAATATAAGAAATATTACAGTCTGCACCAAGCTTGGGATCACTGGTGCACCCAAATCTTGGTCCATCCGATGGTTCGTGTTCGGGTACTATATACATCTACAGTTTGACCATTCCGATCACAATATAGAAAACTAGCCTATATATACATTTAATTTGCATTGGTAGAAAAGGGTTTTCTAAATGTCTCTATTTTCTTCTCTTGTTTCTGATAAAATTTCAATCATGATGTTTGTACTTTGGAACATGCATTACAAATTCTTATCTAAGTAGAAGATGTATTTGAGAGATCGAAAAGCTGGGAAGGTATAGACCAATGAACTAGGGGTGGAAAACTATAGAACCAACAGTAACCACCATTGTTTTTCCATCCTTTGTCTAGAAATGGACGAGAACACGTTTCTTTGTGTTTTCTACTTGACTAGAAATTTAGTGATTATTTATTTGCGGTTGTATTTGAATTTTTTTTCATGATTTGAATTCGTATTAAACATAATACTAGTTATGTGCATGAAGTATATTTATCCATCCCATGAAGTATCTTTTGAGTGACGACATGTTGTCGTATGTGATTTTAGCTGCGTAAACTAACATGGTTGTGAATTTGTGCATGTAAGATTGGATTATTCTATAAAAAGAATTGCTTTTCACCTGGTTGTTACTTTTACATAACCCAACCTTTGCTTTGACATTTGGGCCCAAATCATCTGACATGTGCACATACCAGTTCATTTTAAGGATATTTGTGTGTCTACATCTTGGCAATTTATTCCTAGATTTCGTCCTGGACTTCTTGTACCTCGTCTCCGGTGTGGTTTATGTCTGTGTTGTGTACAGTAAATACACTTTTGGCAGAATTTTCATGTACCATGAGGAAAGATTTAGAAAACTCCGTAGTTTGCGCACAGTACTCATTCCTTAAATTGTTTATCTTATGTGATGATATATATACACTACTACTACTACTACTACTACTACTACTACTACTACTACTACTACTACTACTACTACTACTACTACTAATAATAATAATAATAATAATAATAATAATAATAATAATAATAAACTACACAAATGTTCTATTATTGCATTCATTTTACCGTTTGAATTCTGCATATCTTTAGCTGTTGCATAAATGTAAGATATGTTATTTTTTTTGCATATTATTTCTGCAATGTTCTTGGTCTATTCAACTGGACTTGATTATGTAGAGCTGTCCAATCTGGTGTATGAGTTAGTCTGTATGAATCCATTACTATGTGTCCAACAGGAGATTCTACTATTCACTGTCCAAAATTCAAACTGACAATTAAATAATCCATATGGATATTTGATCGCACACACACACACACACACACACACACACACACACACACACACATGCACACGCACACGCACACGCACACGCACACGCACACGCACACACACACACGCATATTCATCTAATTCACCTTTAAGTCCACTAGTGCATGTGTCCATATCAATTGTTTCCAGCATCAAAATGGATCAAACATTTATTCTTACGCAAAGTGTTAGAGACATGTTAGTCATTTATTAGAGCACCTATATATGCACGTGTGTGTGTGTCTATCATTAGGTTACAAGAAATGTTACGTTACTAGGAACTTAAAAGCTATATACTCCCTCCGTTCCTAAATATTTGTCTTTCTAGAGATTTCAACAGATGACTACATACGAAGCAAAATGAATGAATCTACCCTCTAAATATGTCTATATACATCCGTATGTGCTAGTCCATTTGAAATCTCTAAAAAGACAAATATTTAGGAATGGAGGGAGTATTTCCTAAACATGGTGATGACATCCGAGGCTGACACTAGCTAACAAGTTGTATTTAGAGAAGAACATCTGAGTTTGTTAGTTTTGCAGTGCGTGTAAATGAATGGTTCACCTACTAGCTGCAAATATGCAAGACCAGAACTCTGCCTGGTGGCTTTATTTATAAAGTCGGGCGTATGCCTTTTCTCTAAAAAAAATATGCAAGACCAGCTGAATTCTTTATAACACACTTGTGCTAAATTTCCGTGAGCCAAATTTAAGAAGAACAGAAAAAATAACAAGATATGTTCAATGACTTTTCGTTCTGCCTTCCTGATGATTTGTTTGAAGGTATACATGTGCAAATGTGATGTGTTATGTCCACTTTCATAGTATTTATTTTTCGTACTCACGGTTAATATGTATCTTATGTTTTGAAATAACGCTGCTCAATTATGTACATAGGACACACTTGAAAGTCCAAACTTGCCTGATGGACTGGATACTCATCGATCACAGAAACCTGAGACTTCACAGCATCACAGAAAAGAGACAGAAAATATATCTGAGGAGATCAATGATGCGAAGAAGGCTGACACACAAAAGTGCATTGATAATAATAAAAAGTGCATTCTAACGTACACAAGGCGCAAACATGGCAATTCGAAGGAGAAGGAGGTACTAGAACTCTGTCGCAAATCACTGAACCATGTCAACTTCTCGGAAGCAGATGGTGTACTTGGCAGTAAGATGCATAGTTGTGAGCTACCTCAACAGCAAAGTCTGTGCAAACTGTTGTCGGATGCTACTTCTTCATCCACATCTATGGGAGAAGAAAAATGTGTAGCTATAGAAAGTAGTACTTCACATATGCCCAAGGAAGCATTCACCAAAACTAATGAAGCAAATAAGCGAGACGATCATGATGACTCTGCTGAGCTTAGTAACAAAGAGATGTCTGCTCCATTGATTGATCTGAATATGGCACCACCGGAATGTACTTATTTGGACTGCACCTATGATTCGAATTTGGAGGTGCCCAATCTTGAAAATACACATGGTGAAACTTTTAATTCAGAGGCTGAATTGCTTGATCGCAGAGAAAACTGGATGAATTTGTCTTCCAATTCACAGAAACCGGAAAACCAGCCACGTGCTGTTGACATGGAAAGAGTAAGGAGTTCAAGATCGGCAGACACATTTTTGCATGGAGAGGCAAACAAAGCTTATGACGCGGATGTTGTTGGTCCACCACTGAGCTTAAGAGAACTCGGTGAGACTAGTCCTTCTACGAGACAGACAGTTTGTTTGATGGGCAAAGATCTCGAAGTTTGCATGACCAGAGGTGAACCGTTTACTGAGACTGCACAGAAACATAAAGGTACTTTTCGAAACAGGCTTCCGCCCGGCTTTATTATATGTAAATAAAGACAAATGTGTTCTTGCGATAAGGACAGCCTTTTTTTCTCTTTACAAGCTCAAAGTTTCCCGATTTTGCAGTAAATTCTACCGGTACAATTCAAGCTTCAACATATCATTCAAGCACAAGCCAGGCACAGTTTGAATACATGACTCCACATGATTCCAGTAGCCTGTTTCCTACAGCACATGTATCTTCTGGAGATCAACTATCATATGAAAACAGGTATGGTGATTTTCCAAACTTGCAGACCAATCAGCCTTTTCTATTGGGGTGTCCACCTCCTCCCAGTTATGGTGCAGCATTCTATCAGCTGAATTCGCCGCCTTCTCGCGGTTATTTCTCTGATCCTATCCCTGGGGCAGAACCACTGGCAGCACCATTCTTGCCTATAACCGGACAGCATGGGGCACCATCTTCAGTTTGCCATGCCAATTTGCCTCGGCAACATATTGTAGATTCAACAAGCTCGTCTGTTTGCGTTCTTAACTCCGTGAGTTATACACTCAGCCATCCAGGCCATGTAATTCAAGAAGTTCCCAACAATTCATCGAGTGGTCGGGGTGTGCAGGAGAGATCAGGACTGGTGAAGCTCACTCCCGGGGCGAAGCATATACTGGTGCCAAGCGATAGCACGCAGGGCAACTCTGTGCCGGTGCACTCCTGTTTACCCTTTGGAAGTAGGAGCGGAAATGCTGCAGGCTCTGGAAATAAAGGAGCCTGATCGGCACTGCTTTAATTCAAATTCATTTGTTCAGTTGGAGAATTTTGAAAAATGTTTACAACTTTCTTTCTGTGTAAAACTAGATTGACTGATCTATCAGTGATGATAGATCTAACCCTTTTCCAGAATCTAGAAACATTAGGGTTAGAACTGGGTATCCTCGTCGGTTTGTTGGTAGAAAGATAGGTAGAGTTTTCCGAATATAAAAATCTGGTTTGGTTACGGCCACACGGCGGAGTCCGCTTGGAGCATCTGCGGCTACTGTTCGCTGGAGCTTGCCGGTTTATTTCTTGGTTGGCGACCGGCACGAGCGTATAGCAGGTCGCACGCATGTAGTAAGATTGGGCCAATTAAAACCATTCGATCTGTCTGCGCCTACTATTCACTGGAGATTGCCGGTTTATGTCTTGCCGATTGAGACATCCAGTTCTTTTGGGTGATTCTCCCAAATC